TTTTTTTTCCTGAGCAGAAAGCTCAGAGACGCAGGTGCAGCATTCATGTTAAGCGACTGGAGCAGGTTGTCTGACTATTAATTTGTCTCCTTGAACTGAAGTACTTTCCAGGATTTCAGAAAGTGCACTTTCAGTTTGTTGATACTGAAAATTGAAATTTGCATCAACTGCCAGTGTGAGAGATTTTCCTGAGAAGGTGGTTGTATATAAGTAGTTAAATAAGAGTGAAATAATACAGCGGGCCAGGCTGCAGTAATAGTTGTGAATAGCCTTCCACCAGCCTGAGACGTGTGTACCATTATCTCAGCAGAAGGGAAAAAAAAAAAAAAACCAAAAAGAAAGCGCCGTGGTACTGTTGAAAAGGGACAGGAGATGTCAAATGGATTGGTTTAAAAATATCCTTAGGCTGCCTCTGAGCCTTAAGGCTGGAGTTGAAGAGAAGTGAGCCCGGGCTTCCTGAATAGCGTGGTGGCTGAGCTGCTGTGAGCATGCGAGCCGTCCACCAGTGCAGACAGGAGCGGTGCTGGTCCATAAATACAGTGGGACTCCATATGCTGAGTTCTTCTCATTTTCTTCTGTTAGAAAGTTTGGGGGGGAAAAAAAGGGAGACTTTGAAGTATTTTGTTTATACTAACAGAAGAGAAAAGTTCTCCTAAGAAGAAGCTGGTGGCAGGAGTGTAGAGGAGTAGCATATGGCATTAAAAGGAGCACAGCTGGAGGTAGCATTTCCATCTGAACATGATGTCAGAGCAGCTGACAGCCTGCCATCCCTCAGCCTTTTATTCTAACACACAGACAGGGAGCTAGTGTGTGCGGATCTGTGGTGGAGAAGGTGCCTCGTTCCTCTCCAACATCATCTCCACTTTGCATCTGTCTCTCTCAGTCTGCTTTTTTTCCACCGATGTAACAGACCTGGAGCCAGCAAGACTCAGAGGAAAGGACTTAATCAGGTTTATGTGTCCTAAAGGTAGGAGTAGCAAGAGATTAGATGGAACATATTTGTGTTTTGGTGTTTCGTTTATTTAATTTAAAAAAAAATCACATTACTTTTCTAACCCAGTTTAGGAGTAATGTATGAAATTGAGTATTAAGTGAACATCTTATTGGAGTTGAAAGTCTTGGGGCTTGTTTAGTTTTAATTTTTATCCCTTTTACTTGAGCAAGTAAATGACTTTAATACACAGAAATATTTCAAGTTTTGAAATGTTAAGAAAGGCTTTGAAATATTGCTTTTCGAGATCACGTTGGATTAAAATGCTTTATATTGTTGTTTTTCACTGCTGTTTAGATTCCTTTTGCTTTTGGGGTCGGGGGAGAAACAGTAAACTCTGGAATCCAGCATTCAAACTTACACGAGAAGATTATTCTAGTTGAGAAGCTGGATTGTTGTGTAATTAATTCCACTGTGAAACTTTAGTCTTCAAAACATTCAGCAGCACTGCTGAAACATACAGCTGTATAGTGCTTTTGAAACCGAAGGTTTTTTTGAAAAGAAAAAGGAAAAAAAAAAAAAACACAAAAAAACTTTTGTCCTCAGGAGAATAGTTTGGTTTCCTCATTTCTCTTTCAAATATATATTTAAGAGATCTTCTGTTTCAGCATAACAATAATTATTTGCAGGAGTTTTTGTGTTAGCGACTAATTTAGAACTTGTAGATTTGAGCTGCCTGAATTGGCCAGACAGCTGTAATCGCACTCCTCTATTCTTAATCTCTTTATCTGGGCAGCAGCTGCCATATGGCCACAGTCAGCTGGATCAGATGTTTATAAGCTTCCTTCTTCGTCCCTCTCTGTCCTCTCAGCCTCCTAATTTGATCACGGCTACCTTGTGAGCTGCCCTCCAATCTTTATTTTTAGCCCTCTCAAGGATTAGGATTGATGTTAGCTGTGGGGCACTTAAAGTGATTGTATTGTAAATCTTGGTTTATTCGAGCGGTGGCATCTTGCAGAATGTATTTGGGGCCATGACGAAAGTTTTAGTCCATCTTGGGCAAAGTGTAGACGAGGCAGGGAAGGGATTTCTGAATATTAAAGGCACATGTACCCATTCTCAGAATGTACTTTCTGAGGTGGGTGGTGTGGAACCTTGCTTCTGGGCACAGGAAAGGGGAAGTTGGGTTTTCTGTAGTTTTAAGGAGTTGAATTTTGACCCATTGTACAGCTTCGCCTTGCCTCTCCCTCCTCCGTTTCACCCCCCCTCCACCAGAAAATCAGGGCAACAATGCGAATTTGAAAGAATAGAAGCTGGTGGGAAAACAAAATATATCAAGTTATGTTGAAACAAAGTATTTTCTGTTGACAGAGGTAAGGCAGAGTCAGGGAAAAAAAATAGTTTCTCTTTTTCTAGCAGAAAAAGGCTTTTTTTTTTTTTTTTTTTTTGATGTTGAACCTGTAAAGCTTTTTTGTCTTATTTAAAAGTTTGAATTAATTTTAATATGGAACTCATATTGCTTTTACAAAGGATCAAAGTTTAGATAAGATTTTTCAGAGTTACATAAAGCCCTTCTGGCTCCCAGTTCTCTAGATTTACAGAATTTCCAAAGAATTATAACCGTTTTCTCTCAATTCATTAAAAAAATATTTGGATTTACTCGTAGTAAAGATGATCTTTCCCATCTGCTGGTGTAGCTTCTTCTGATCTCATACATGTGTGCCGTACCTGCAGTCTTCAGGCGTTCACATCTGTTTTTATACGCAGGCCTTTTGTTGTTGTAACACTCTGACTTTAAAAGAAAGTTGTTTGCTGATTTCTGGACTAATTATGCGATTTCATTATGGGTGGTGGTTGTTTTTAATTCAACCAAATGTCTGCGTTTAAATCATGCTTTCTAAGTGCAACCAGGTATCAAAAGTAATAAAAAGAATGGTCAGACAAGTTTTCTGAGTCTTCCAGTGTGTTTGGGACTTCTCTTTGTTCATTATGAGTTGTTCCCTTTGAAATTAAAGCTATTTTGTAGGTTTCGTAGGACATAGTTTGATGGGTAGAGTTAATTAAACTCTTCTGAGAGGCATCTAAATTCTTCTTCTCAGTGAAGAGACTATCCTGAGATCGAGGCTTTTAAAACTTGCCTGGAAGTCCGAGGAAGGTGGGATGCATTGGGGACCTCTGGCAGGGGCAGGGCAGTTTAGAGGGTGCCTCTCTCGTCTCGCATTTAGGCTGTGTGCGTGTGATTTGGTAGTCTTCGGGTCACACGCCTGATTAAAATTCAGGGACATGTACCCCGGCCGCCAAGCCGAATTATTTTTGCGTGTGGGGACTGGCGTTGAAAAGTTGCGAAGTTGCTCCTGACGGGCTCTCACGAGGAATGTCTCTCTCCCCAGGTTATGAAGACAGCATGGAGTTCCCAGACCACAGTCGACATCTGCTGCAGTGTCTGAGCGAGCAGAGACACCAGGGCTTCCTTTGTGACTGCACCGTGCTGGTGGGAGATGCCCAGTTCCGAGCGCACCGAGCTGTGCTGGCGTCGTGCAGCATGTACTTCCACCTCTTTTACAAGGACCAGCTGGACAAAAGGGACATTGTTCATCTGAACAGCGACATTGTTACAGCCCCGGCTTTCGCTCTCCTGCTTGAATTCATGTATGAAGGGAAACTCCAGTTCAAAGACTTGCCCATTGAGGACGTGCTGGCAGCTGCCAGCTATCTGCACATGTACGACATCGTCAAAGTCTGCAAGAAGAAGCTGAAGGAGAAGGCCACGGCCGAGGCGGACAGCACCAAGAAGGAGGAGGACTCCTCCAGCTGCTCGGACAAAGTCGAGAGCCTCTCGGACGGCAGCAGCCGCATGGCTGGCGACCTGCCCAGCGACGAAGACGAGGGCGAAGACGAGAAGCTGAGCGCGCTGCCCGGCAAGAGGGACGCGGCGGGCGAGCCCGCGC